ATAACTGTAGGAAAGTTTCTGAGACAATTTTAAGGGAAAACAATTAGAAATTATGCCAGGACAATGACTTTAAGTATTCCATAACATCCCTAGGTACAGCGTTTGTATTTTCACTGCCTTGAAGTGAATAGGAGTAAAGCTTTAATGCTGTGCTTCCCGTGCTGGGCTACACGGTGCTGTGCCAAGGTATATGTGAAGCTAGTGTTAATGAGGCTCATTTTCCTAAAGCATCAATTATGACAAGTTCATGTGAGTATGTAATGTACAATGTTTAGTACTAAGAAGTGAAAAAATGATTTTCATATTGTGGAACATAATGTAAAATGCCAGAAAAGTTTAAACCCCTTTCCTCAAAATATAGGCACACAGATAATTTCTATCATTAGAGAGTCTCAAGTGTACCAGAGTCAGAGACATGGGTTACAATATGCCCATGTGTTTAAGGGCATGGAGAGGAAAGCAAGCCTTCAAGAGTAGTGAACAATGGGAAATTAACATTGCAGGAAGTTCCTTTTCAGATGAAGAGGAAACCAGGGAAGGGAGGAGTTAGTGAGCTTTACATACCAAGCTAGGCTGGAGAGCTTTGTTCAATGCATTGATACAGTCAATATTTTTAGATGCCTATTTTGTCCCATGTTCTCTACTGGATGGCACAAGAGTGAAGTAGATACTTTGCCTAACTTCAAGGAGTTTGCTGTCTAGTGAAGGGTGTACAGTATGAAATTGGATCACTGGAAAAGGGCCTAGCTTTGTTTAGGGAATTCAGCAAATACTTCACAAAAGACACATCACTTCAGCTTTTGGCTAAGTCTTGGAAAATGTATAGGTATTTTCTATCTGCAGATTGGTGAGAAAGATTTCGGGGAACAGGAATATGAAATGTGTGGGAAATGAATTAGAATCATGCTTACATTTTTGACAGTCATTATGAGCACTTAAGTCCCTGGAGAGGAAGAAGCTCATTTCCTTAGCCTTGGTACAATCAGCAGTGTAGCTTAGCACTGTCCCTGCACACAATACCGTGTTTATTGCTTTGTAAAGCTCAGTCAGAGAGCTGAATACATCATGGATAACATGTAGCTTACTCCTCCTCCTTTAATAAATTTATATTGAACACCATTATGAACCTGATCCTTTGGTAGGAATAGTTATCCAGAAGAATGAGTTCCAGTTTCTAGCTTCAGCAACTCAGACAGCTGAGTAAAGGAAATCAGTCAAGCAGACTGGAACTTGTGATATGGTATGATGAAAGCTTTGGTAGGTATAAGCCCTGAGGACTATACCTGCACACTGGTAGGGACCTAGCCCCATGTAGAGGGTGAAGTGGAATTTGGAGGCCTCAAGCCACTTCTGAACAGTGGTATGACAAGTAGGAGGTAAATTAAAAAACACCAAGCATTACAGTAAAGGCAATATTGTGCACAAAAGTATGTGTTCAGAAAGGAACATGTAGCTTCCTATGAAAAGTGGAGACAGATAATGGTAGAAACGGTGAGAGGTAGCTGCATCTGGGACATAGAAAGCCTTTGTGCCATGATACAAGCCTGGATTTTATCCCAAAGGCCAACAGTGAGTTACTATAATGCTGGTTGAGATCGGTGTTTTTTTAGGAAAGGTTGAAATCCACTAGTGAGCTATAAAATTTAGTGAATTCAGACCAGTATTTTTTATTTTTAAAGAGCCCTTTTCTTTAAAAAAATTATTTATTTTTAGAGAGAAAGGGAGAGGGAAACCTTGACATGGGAGAGAAACATCAATAGGTTGCCACTTACACATGCCCAACAGAGGACCTGGTCCGCAACCCAGGCTTGTGCCCTGACAGGGAATTGAACCAGCAACCTTTTGCTTTACGGGACACCCAACCCACTAAGCCATGCCAGTCAGGGCAGGACCAGTATTTTTTAAAAAGTAACTAGAAAAGAGTAGAAATATTAGTGTGCATATTTGTAAAGGTAAACATTTTGTGATGCTTTTCAGTTATATGTGAATACTGTGTTCTGAGGTAAAATGTTTTTTATCTGTAGATCACAGTAAAGTTTTTTTTTCTAGGAAACACTAAAGTTTCAACAGAAATTAGTTTACGCCTGTCCATCTCTGGATCAATAACAAGGGGACAGAAATACTGTGACTGCTTTATAGTACTGGTAATCTGGGAGGGATGTTTGGGAACCAGCCCACTGTAGGGAAACTGTAATACAATGTGGTGAATTCAGAGAATCATTTAAATATTGTAGTGCACCTAGGTTCATGAAGGAATGAACTTAGGTGTGTGGATGGTCAGAAGAGCCACCCAGGAGATGCCGTTTGTGCAAAAGTTAGGTAGGTAAAAATGGGAGGAGGGTTTTCTGAGTAATAGAGACTGCATCAACCAAAAGTGGTAATGAGAGCTGTGCATAGGGAAACAGTCAAAATGAGGACTTCCATGCTTCTGGAGCATAAAATTAGAGGCAAGGGAAGTTGCTGCAACAGTAGGTGGATGCCTAGTCATGGAGGGAGTCATAAGAAGTCCTGACTCCTTTTCTACAGGAAAAAGCCACAGCGGATTATCAAGCCTAGAATTAAGACATCGGAGTTCTATTGCTCTGGCTGCAGTATGGAGGGAGGCAAGTTACATTAATCCAGGATAGAGATGTCATCAATTTCAGACTAGAGAGAGATGTGACTGCAGATTTCAGAAACATTGTGGAAATAAATTCAACATGACTTGTTAATCTGTTAATGGGTGCAAGAAAATAGTCCCTGGCTTTTGTAGGTATCCTCTCTGGACAAAGAGTTTATACTGTCATTGATCTGTTGAGGCTAGAATTCATTATTTTTGAAGTGGGCTCAACCTTGCAGTGAAAAACTGGATCCCAAGACCCTCTGAAAGTGGAGAGAATTCTCATGCATCCAGGCATCTCTCTTGGGGGGCTGAGATTTGTTAGAGGTGCCTAGATGGACTTGGGGGCATATTCCAACTGGGGTGAAAAGTCATTACTTGCAGGCTAGATCAGTAAAGTTGATAGTACATGGACCAGCACAAATAATGCCCCCTCTTTATTATAAAACCATAAGCATTTAATTATGTAACAGTATTACACTGAAGCACACATTTTAGGTGAAATATTAAAAAACTACGATTACTACACCTGTATTACTTACTACTCTACCAACCACACTCAAGCAGGCCTTACTTCTGCTGGACCTTGTATTTCCCCAGTGTTGTCCCTGAGCCTTTAGTAAATGTTCTAGAGTTCATATACTCTTACTTGGGCCAATATATTAAAAGGGATGTTGTCCTTTGAGGCCACTGTGGCATCAGTGGTGGGCCATTAGATTGTGAACTCCTTGAAGAGTTGTTTTTCTCTGTACCCCTGGTATCTAGCCCAGAGCATGACATATGGTGAACACTTTGATAGACTGTCCCTAGTGCTTAAATTGATGATGCGTACTAGCAGATGCTTAATAAGCACTTATGAAACTGCTGAAAGCTCCAAAGGGGCATGTATTTCTGGGGTTAAGAGGAAAAGCTATGAGAGTCAGCCATAACCCACCTATTACCAGTAATACAAAGATGTGGTTTTAAGATGAAGATAAGTACTTAGTCTCTAAGAGTCAAGAATGGGTCCGAGTTATCTAGCTGAGGTGAATGTTCATGCCAAAAAGACAGAAAGGGTTGAATTTTGTGGCAGAAACATTCAGAATTACAGGCTTAATTAATACTTTGAGTGTTTAGTACATCACTCAAAATAATGTCAGGTTTTGTTAAGAATGTGTGGACAAATTGGAGCACAGGGAGAGATGGAGAACCTTGTTGGTTGTGTCAGTAGAGAAGGTACAGTGAAATACCACTGGAGTAGCTGTCACTGAAGTTATCTGCTAGAACAGTGACCTCTTTACTTTTACCCTTATTATTTCAGACAATGGATGGGGTTAGGCCTAATACGCTCTGAAGGTCCAGCCTAAAATGTCTTCTTTCAAGTGGTTAGGCCTGGGTGACAGCACCAAGTCTTCCTGTAACTACCACCCTAGTCAAGCCTCTGAGCCTTGAGTGATAGGCAGCCTGCCTGGGCCAAGTTTGACTTCACAGTAATTAATGGATATAAAGGAGCTTCCTACTTCTCATATGCTCAGCCATTCTTAAGCCGGATTTCCCTTTTTTAAGTTCCCAGAGAGGCCCAGATTTGACAACAATAAAAAATTTCCAGGAAATTCCCAGAAGGTTTAATTTCCTAATCCTCCTCCCACGTCAACCCTCTCCTTCACTCCACTCTCCACTTTTGTCCCCCTCCCACCCCAAGAGGAAGGAGGTTATCCTGGAGTCTAATATCCTTGGTTGAATGCTTGCACTCCTTTGGCCAGGGCAGTAGTACATCTGAATCCTCAGGTCTTCTCCTTTGAGGCCCATTCAGGGCTCGAGGGGAGCACATGAGGATAATGTGTGATCCTGCCTAGCAACACAGGTGGTAGTGTTCTTAGGGTACCAGATTCCACAGAAATTTCACTTCTAGATATTCATTCTCCAAGCCCTGTAGGGAAGCACCATATTTTGCTGTGTATAATGTGCATTTTGCCCAAATTTTTAGGGAAAAATAAGGATACACATTATACACAGGTAGTACTAATTCCATACCTATATAAATGTTTTTAATTTTTAAGTTTATGCTTATGTGTTAAAAGTGTAACTCTAGAAAGCAATGATATCCATATGCAAAATAATGCCCTGGAATACAATAATTGGTTTTGTTTCTAAATATAAGTAAATAAAAAACTGAATTAAAAAATTAAAATAAGGTTTTTTTCCTGAAAGTTTGGGCCAAAAACATGGGTGCACACTATACTTGGGAGTGCATTATACATAGCAAAATATGGTAATTTTTCTCTAAGAAATACCAGGGGTTCCTCTATGGAAGATGTCATAACTCAATCACATTAGATGCCAGTTTGGAATTTTAGTGTGCATGCCCCATATAAATCAACATTAAGAAAAACAAAACTGTGCTAACCAAATAAAACCCAGATTTAAGAGCTAGAAACATGGATTTACTGTCCCATGGAGAATGATCATTTGTATAGTTCTCATTCTCAGAAATCTCAAGGGGAGGGAAAAAATCTGTTTACATATATTCATATAAGGAATTTTGTCTATTGTGCAAAACAAAGAGGGTTATCTGGCTCCTCAGCAAGTTCTGGGCTCCATTAAGACTGTCCATTTCACAGCTCTAGCTCCAGTTCTTAGAGATTAAGAAGTCCAAACACCTATGACAATGGGCACTGATGAGAGCTACACACCCTTTGGCTCCAGTTAAATCCCTGGCTTTTCAGATGTGTGGGAGCTGTGGATACTTGCTTCCTGGTCCTGCCGCAGCCCCAGAAGTAGCTGGTTTAGGAGTGTAAGATTGCTGTCTCTGTGAGGCAGGGGCAGGGGTGGGAGGCAGTTTCCTTTATACTCAATCACTGCCATCTTGGCCCGATCCTGCTTATTCCGATTAGGGATCTGTAGCATTCTCGTGTATCCCCCATTCTGACCTTGGTACCGAGGGGCCAGTACTTGAAACAGCTTTGGGATCAAGTCTTTCTCCTAGAGGGGTAGAGTTATACAGAAGAGAGCAGAGTCAGGCACCAACGCAGAGACATTTAGCTTTTAGCATTCCCAAAGGTAGGGTCTCCAAATACACACAGTCAGACCTCCCCCACCATCTAATGTGCTAGAGTCGAAGTTAAATAGAGGGTTCTGATGTGCAGATTCTGATTCGCATCGAATTCAACCTACTTAAGGCACACATTTCTAATTCAGTTTACAGAATTTGTCCATACGTGAGTGCCTTACCTTAGTTCTTCCCAGTCCCCCTTTCTGTGACAATCCCTCCCACTCACGGACCGAAGGATGAGATTTGGTGGCAGGCAGGGTGTACTTACTGTGAGCCAGAAGTCAGCCATGCGCATGGCTCGTTCGTTGGTGTCTCCCAGCTTCCCATAGTCGATGAGCTGCGAGAACAGAACATCACTGATCCAACCCGAGCAGAAAATACGGCACCAATCTTACTCCTCTAATTCCACTGGTCAAGGTTCCCTCGAATTCAGGCCACCCCTAACCTCGCACGCAGCCCTAACCCGTTTTCCATTTGAGGGGCCGGAGGAATGGGTTCAGCTCAAGATATTGGAGGATGCAGACTTCGGACAGGGCTTACCAAGGAGATTTTACTCCTTTCCCCAAAACTGTCAGGCCCCGCCCCCTTAGGCCAGACCCGCGCGGCGGAGCCAGACCCGAGCGTCTGTCCTCTGACCTTCTCAGCGTAGCCCCTCATCTCGTCCACACGCGCCCAGGACGCCTCGATGCGTTCGTGTCGCACTAGTCCCGTAAGCAAGTTCCGCAACAGGTGGATGCGGGACTCGGGACCAAGGCCCAGGCGACGGAATACGCGGCCGTGTGAGATGGCCGCAGAGACGGAGAGCCGCATATCTCCTCTTCTCTCTGACTCCAAGGAAGCCGGAACTGGGAACTCAGAGGGAAACTGCGCGGAGGCGGGATTGAGAGGACGCATGCGCTGTAGCTAAGTGCGTGGTGGACGTGTTTGCGCATGGGCATTAGAGTCTGCCCAGTTGGCAACCTGGGGGAGGGCGGAGAAGGGGTGTTGACCTGCTCCAGGGGAGGCGAGGCTTGTAGACTGCAGGCGCCGCGTGCGCTCCTGTCGGCTGGGAAACAGACGCCCCCTAGTGAGGGATAAGCTGGCAGTCAGAGATCTCTAGTGCTGCTTCGGGCTCTATTTGTGGCTTGTAGGGTGATCGGAAGCACCACCCTGGGTCCTGCTGGGAAAGCGAGTATCGGAGGGGAAAGACGTCTAGAGGGGCGCGCGCTCCAGTAGACTGGCTGCCTTGCCCCTGCTTGAACGGTGTTGAGTCATCGTGTAGGACAGACACCCCGACGGCGTCGTTTTTGACAAAATTATTTTTAGTCGTAATGGTGAAATGAAAGGAATAGCAATTATATTCAGTTAAGAAAGGCAGATGATGAAAATTTTGTTGAGGTAAATACATCTAATTATCCTAGTTAAACAAAAATACAGCCCTCAAAGCAAAAGTAATAGATTAATACTTTTAAATTGCATTGATGTATTTTTGTACAAGGAGAAAATATACCTGTGCATTTATGTGTTGAAGAAACATACAGTAACATGATAGCTTCTGCTTTGGAACCTTAACGTCTGCATTAATAATGTCAAAATTGCTCTTTGGTACGGGTTGAACTGTGATTCCCACCTGCAAAGTATATGTTAGGTTCTAACCCCCCACTCCTAATCTTCTCTGCCTCCCTTCCAGTATCTCAGAGTATGGCCTCATTTGGAAGTACGGTCATTGCAGATGCAGTTAGTTAAGGTGAGGTCGTACTGGACTAGGGTGGGCATCTAATCCAAATGACTTATGTCCTTATAGAAGGAACTGAGGTGGAGAGACAGGGAGGGACACACGGAGTGAAGACAACCTTGTGAAGATGGACACACACTGGGAGAACCTGTGTGACCAGGAAGGCAGAGATCTGAGGCAGTTGCAAACCAAGGATCCTAAATGATTTCTGGCAAACACTGGAGCCTAAGAGAAAGGCATGGGACAGATTTTTCACTATGTCCTTCAAAGAATGTATGACTCAACCAGCACATTGGAGCTATGAGAAAATATATTTTATTTGTTTTATGCTGCCCAGTTTGTGGCAGTTTTTTACAGAAGGACTAGGAAAGTAATGCACTCATCTTCACATATTCATGTTCAATAGATAGCATACTTAGAATTGTCACTCTATCTTCACTCATAGGTGACCAGAGAACACTTCTTGTTAATTTTAATTTTGAAAAGTTTCTTTTGTTTGAAGCAATAGATAACAAATAATTAGGAAAAATCTTAAACATGGGTATGTTGGAAGAGATTTATATAAATCACAGTTCATAATAAAGTCCAGAAATTACAATACTGTGTTTTGTTTTTTGGGGGTCAAATCTTATAGATTTCCATGATGTCCACATTTGAGAATTCATCATAAATTTCTATCAGTAAACATTTCTGGGATTTCCAGTCAAGATGGAGGCATAGACAGATATGGCCCACCTCTTGGCACAACCACATCAAAATGACAACTAAATATAGAGCAACCATTGCTTAGAACCATCAGAAATCAAGTTGAATGGAAGTCTGACAACTATGACAACTACAGAATTAAAGAAACTACATCCATCCAGATTGGTAGGAGGGGCACAGACACTGAACGGGCTGGTCTCTCATGCCCACATGGTGGATAAAAATTTGGGAGGGATTTTTTGGGAGGCGGGAGTCCCAGCCCCACACCAGGACCCCCAGACTAGGGTTCTAGTGCTAGGAAGATAAGTGTCCACAGCTTCTGGTTGCAAAAACCAGCAGGATTGAGTTGGTGGGAGGAATTTCTGGAGCCCCAAGCAGTTCTTAGAGAACCCACACATGGACTCATGTTCTCAGACTCACTCCCTCTGAGCTCCAGCATTGACGTAGTAGCTTGAAAAGCACCAGTGGTATACACAGAGAAACTGAAGTATATGGCATCAAGGTGAGCAGAGGCTGTTGTCCCTTTTCTAAACCCTCCCCCAACAGAGCTGGCAAACTGGTGCCATATCTGAGACTCCATCAACCTGGCTAACACTGTTTGGTTGGCCTTGGAGATCCCCAGAGACTCCACCCAACCCAAATTATGGGCCCACGCAAGCTGCTTTTACATATGAATGGCTGGCCTAGGCTCATGCTTCACCACTTCCTAAATTCTGTCAAATCAGCAATAGCTGGGCTCAGTGAGCCCCAGGAATGGCACTACAAGCAGCCAGCCTAGATCTACAGCTGGCTTCACCTGGGAATCTCCAAGCCCAGCACAAGTAGAAGTTACTGCAAATGCTTTATAGTTCAGGCATGGTGGCCCCAGGCACAACAGGTGGGGGCTGACCTTGGCCTGTACCACCCAGGAAACCTCAGGGCCAGTGCACCCCATACACAGCTACAGAGCACATCAGAGCATCACCACTCTACCCCCGCACAGCTGATCCTCCATGGAGGGCGGATGTTGGTGGTCAGTGTTCACAGCCAATCCTTGCAGGTGACTTGCCTGGGTAAATCTCTCCCACCGATCTGTCAACAGCAACAAAGGCTCAACTACAGGAGGAGGGTATACTTAGCCCACACAAAGAGTGCACCTTGATAGGGGAGGCTGTGCCACTGGACTCTACAGGACACCTACTATGTTAGGCCACACTACCAAGACATGGAGTTAAAGCAGCTCTACTTAATATATAGAAACAAACACAGGGAGGCTGCCAAAAAGAGGAAGCAAAGAAACATGGCCCAAATGAAAGAACAAAGAAACATGGCCAAATGGCCCAAAACTCCAGAAAAAGAGCTAAATGAAATGGAGATAAGCAATCTATCAGATGCAGAATTCAAAACATTGCTTATAAGGATGCTCAAGGAACTTGGTGAGGACCTCAACAGCATAAAAAAGATCCAGTCAGAAACAAAGGATACACTAAGGAAATAAAGAACAATTTACAGGAAAACAACAGTAGAGTGGATGAAGTCAAGAATCAAATCAATGATTTGGAGCAAAAGCAAAAACAACCAATGAGTACAAGAAGAAAAAAGAATAAAAAAAATGAGTATAGTATAAGTAGTTTCTGGGACAACCTCATCTGTATCATAGGGCTACCAGGAGAAGAGAAAGCAAGAAATTGGAAATATATTTGAAAAAGTAATGAAATAAAATTTCCCTAATTTGGTGAAGGAAATAGACATGCAAGTCTAGGAAGCACAGAGCATCCCAAACAAAATGGATGCAAAGGGGCCCACTCTAAGACACATCATAATTAAAATGCCAAAAGTTAAAGACAAAGAGTCTTAAAAGCAGCAAGAGGAAAGAAGTTAATTACTTACAGGGGAGTTCCTATAAGACTCTCAGTTGATTTCTGAAAAGAAACTTTGTAGGCTAGAAGGGACTGGCAAGAAATATTCAAAGTCATGAAAAGCAGGGGCCTACAGCCAAGATTGGTATACCCAGTAAAGCTATTATTTAGAATCGAAGGGCAGAGAAACAGCTTCCCAGCCAAGAAAAAACTAAAGGAATTCATCATCACCAAACCATTATTATATGAAATGTTAAAGGGACCTATTTAAGAAAAAGATCAAAACTATGAATAATAAAATGACATAAATACATATCTATCAACAACTGAATCTAAAAAACAAACTAAGCTAGCCAGAATAACAGAGACAAAATCATGGATACAGAGAGCATTTTGATGGTTGCCAGATGTGAGAGGGGTGTAGGGGAATGGGTGAAGAGGTGAGGGGATTAAGAAGTACAAATAGGTAGTAACAGAATAGCCGCAGGGGTGTAAAGTACAGTATAGGAAATGGAGTAGCCAAAGAACTTATGTTTATGACCCATGGATGTGAACAATGGTGGGAGAATTGCTTGAAGGAGTGGGGGACAGTGCTGGGTGGAGGGGGCCAAAGGGAGATAAATGAGGACAACTGTAATAATATAATCAATAAAATATAATTAAAAACATTTCTGAAGATCTTTTGCAAAAGTTGGGGAACATTAACATTAGCACTGACATTATTTGAGCCATTGCTTTAGAGCAGGGGTATCAAACTCATTTTCACCAGGGGCATATCAGCCTCACAGTTGCCTTCAAAGGGCCAAATGTAATTGTAGGACTGTATAGATGTAACTACTCCTTAACAGTTAAGCAAGAGTTTGGCGCTGCCACTGGCTAGAAAGAAGTTGCTGGGCCAGATAAAACAAGGTGGAGGGGCTGGATTTGGCCTGTGGGCCTTGTGTTTGCCACTGTGCTTTAGAAGGAATGTCCACTTGGTGAAAATGTACAGAATCAGACATTGCCCTTCTTTCTTATTTATTTGTTTTTGGCCATATAAGACCATCATCTCTTGTCTCTTTTGGCAGTCTTCAAAATTTGATTCTTTTTTCAATGTCATTTTCTTTACATTTTGCATAGCTAATGGGTTCCTCCACAATTCCTGTGGACTGGTGTTCAAGGGACAATTTTAAACCTTGTTGTTTAACTGTATGTTGTTCAAGGCTTATTTTGGCTGTTTGCTGACTTCATCTGAAACTTCACCTTCCTGAAAAAAGGTAAGTCAGAAAAGAAAAATATCATACAACTAGGACTGTTTATTTTAAAGTTACTGCTATAATAGCAGGGTTATGTTCTCCCACAAGGATTGGAGTCAGAAAATGCACCACAGGTGAGTTTGAAAGATTGTTAATTTTTGTGAATTTACTGTGAAAAGTAACATAGATAGCTGGATTTGACTGTGTATCTACCAATTAACCTCCATGTAGAATGAAGTATTCTTTAGCAGATTAGTTTAAGGAAGTTATAATATGAAGCCTACATATATAGGAATTGTTCAGAACTTGGACCAACAAAATATTTTTGTGTGAGGATTATTGCATCACTAACACTGCTAGCATTGTGCAAAG